TTCACATGCTACTTATTAGATTGATATGACCCTGAATACCAGGGCTTCCACTTTTCAGCAATATTTTTCCGGTTTCTATCAAGCTTTTGTTTCTTCACAAATAGCTTATTTTTGCACTATTTGATGTAATGTCTTGAGAAATCAAAACACTTCATAATGTTATTTTCAAATATACTAACAGCAAGTAACTTGAATTGACAATAACTCATATAATTTGGATGTAAGATAAAAAATGTTCCAAAAAAGCAAGAAAGTAATTCTTCAGAAAGCTAAGGCCTTATTTTCTCCAGACTGCACTTTCCTCTGTAGTGCCCTGACAGTGGATAGCTGTTCTGGCGTGTTGCATCCAGACTTTTAACACAATATGCTTTTCTTTTTTTTTTTTTTTTAACAACTGCTGCATGGTGTTGATGACAGTTCATTAAAGGATATCAGTCTTAAACACTATCTTAGGAAAACTCTTCTTGTGCTAAAGCTTGAATTTTCATCTTTAGAGACTTTTACTAATGAAAGTAAGTCATGGTATTAAATTTAAATTATTTTTCTTCAGTTCAAATTGAGAAATGTGCTTGACTTCTGTTCATTTTTTTTGTAAGTCACATTCCATAACAAATACCAGAAGAGAATACAAATAGGACATGAGGCCAAACCTTGTTTTTCACGAAGTACACCTGCATATTCTAACAAATTTTAAAGCTATGCTTCAGCACATGAATAGTACCTACACTAGCATTCTAAACTTCACACAGGTTAAAAACATGGCTTGAGTGTCAGAAGAGCACAACAACCAGAGGTTCCCATTGAAAATAAATAGTGTTCTGAGCTTTTGAAACAGCTGGTATTTGCTCAGGGTGTCAAGTGCCATGAAAACTCTGATCCAGCAAATAGCTCTTTATTAACCCCAAAGCTGCCACAGTTTCCACAAACTTAAGTCGATGCTGATTTTCAAGGAAGCTGAAATAGCGCTCAATTCTATGAATGTAGAGTGCCTGCTGGTCAGCTGAGTAGATATAAAATGTACCTTTTCTCACCTAAAAGATTTTTTTGTCTTTTATGTGCTAATTTGTTAATTTTACCATAGAGTTCAGAAGTTTAAAATTGAAGTATGAAGATATCAAGATATCAACACAGCTGACCCCTTGTGATTTTTCATCTGTGAGATTGAGAGTGGTGACGATTAGTTCTCTGCTCAATTTTCTTGTATTCCACAGCCTGGAGTTCAATCTCACCTTGTTAAAGTGTGTGCGATTAACAGCATGAGACCTTATTGACTCCAGAAGGAGTCATTTTGCAGGTGGAACCATCAGGCTGCATATTGTTCGTCTTACAAAAACACCCAAGTGTCCTCTAAGACTGTCAGTGATTCATCTTGGCTGTTCTCAGTTTTCTGGCTGAAACAAATCCCAACTAATCCAGCCAAAATCAGTCGTGTGTGTGTACATATGAGTGCAGCGTGTGTGTGTCTATGTACGCATACATATGTAGCTTTTTTAATTTCATATAAAATACACACATTCATCACAGTTTGATAAAAAAGTAGGCTGCTATGAACTACAGTATGGGATTCTGTCTATGTGGTAGCTTTTCAGAAGAAATCCAACAAAAATTATTTCAACTGAGGCAGGAGGAGAAAAAAAAATCCTTCTTTCTTCTGCTGAGCTAACAACACAGTTTGCGATAGACAGCATTAGTATGTGGGGTCAGAAAAATGCACCAGGTTCTTCATCTAAGCTTCAGGAAGAAGTTCTGTCAGGATGAGTCACGATCCAGCCTGGCACGTGCAGGCACTACTCAACTGGCATAAATGCGTAAAGAATAACGGATTTGCTTATTAAATCATAATAGTTTATTGAGAGCAATTAATCAATATTTAATCACTAACTAGGCAAGAATCAACCTTTAATAATGTTTCTATTTAATTCATATATGCTGATCTAAATAATATTTTCAAACTATCTCATTTGTGCATAGTTAGGAAGGAAGAGACTGCATAGTAACCAAGATTAAGAATTGTCCAAAGCCCTAATATAATACAGGATGTTGGTTTTACCACACACAGCATGTAATTTTTCAAAAATCATGCATATATATTATTCCTCTTTTTTGAGAAATTTAATGAAATGGTAAGGAACAAAAAACTTGGGATTTTTTTCCTCCCATTAAACTTTTTTCCGATTATGTGTTAAACCAACAAGATTATTTTTACTTTAACAACCAGATAGAGGATATTATGCACACTACTACCATGTTTCATTTAAAATTCTCTTCTGTGTCATGGAACAATTGCATTCATTCTTGTTACTATAGCAACAACTTACCTTATTTAAGGTTTGCAATTTCTGTTGGTCTTACAGAAACAAATATTGTCTTTCTTTGAATTCCAAACTTATCTTGCTTATTAAAGCATAAAATTCAAACTTTCATTACATTCTAATTAGCCACACATTGTTTTGGTTTACACTGATGAGCAACATAGATGGAAATCTGTATGTTGTGTAGTGAAAATGTTATTAAACACATAGGACTGATTCTGATCCAAATGGAGTGAAACCTCTGTCAGTTGACCCAGTAGTCAGTAGGCGTAAATATGTGTATTTGCAAAACTAATTTCAATGAAACAGTGTTATTTGATCCCAAAAGGGTATCAATAGATTTTGTACAGATTTCAAACTGTTCTAAATATAAGAACATTAGTCTTACAGAATTATTGCAGAGAGAAAATTCTTGCTAACTTTCCACACACAAAGAAGGTTCATACTGCAAGATCGGGGGATGGAATTCAAAATGAGGACCTTGCAATATTTCTGCTTAGAATTACAAAGACTATAGATTGCTTCATATCTTCTTTGATTTGGGATGATACTGATTTCATAAAGGAGTCTCAGTTGTCTTATAAATAGTTTGAGATTATTTTCCAAAATATTTTGAACAATATTCAGTTCAGAAGTTTGGGAATTAGTGGTGGCTGGGTTTTGAGGGCTGTTTTGGGGGGGTGGTTTTGTTCTTTTCCTAGACTATTGCAAAATAACTGGCTGGACTCATTTTTTTCATGAAACATTTTAGAAATGTGTTAAGTTTGCAGTGTATTTCTGGGCTGCCAGAAGGAGGGAAAGGGCTATAGCACTTGACAGTGGGTTTCTTCTGGTATTTCATATCCACAGTTTTGACATAAACAGGATCTTCTCACTTTTCTTTACCACTTACAGCTAAATTATGCCTGACTTCAATGTCTCTGGTCTTGCCTGTAACTTTGCTTTAGCTGCATGGCCAGTTAGTAACCACTATGCATGTTTGCTATGCACATTGTTGCCCTTTGCCCAGCACCGGATCAGAACATTTGACCTGTCCTTGGTTTTCAAAGCCTATCATCTCCGTCGTGAAGAAACAGATTGGTTTGACAAGCCCAGGGAGTCTCGTTTGGAGAATGGACATGGCCTCGACAGAAGGCTGCCAGAGAAGTTGTCCCACTCTCGACCACCAAGTCAACACCAAGATCAAGTAAGCTGTCAAGTAAGCTGTGCCTTTAGTTTTATAAATGTTTGACAGTTTAATCATATCATCCAATAGTGTAGGGACTACAGGATTAACCAAATTCCAGCTACATTCAGCTGAAATGATGTTGAACCTGTATTTGTCATCAGTACTTGATGATGAAACTAGAGTAACATCCGTCTGCAATTCATTATTAATTTTGCAGGTTGTCTTTTGATTTTTGAAACATATCTGAAAGGAGTTAATCTCCTAATCAGAACTATCTGTACATTAGCTATTCCTACTAAAGAAAAAAAAGAAAAAGAAAGGAAACACTCCCCCTTTACCTGATCAGCTTTATTCCATCCAAATTCAAGCCCCTTCTTTTAGTAGTTTAAGGAAAAGACTTCCTTCATCCTGTTGAGACATGTTCCCACTTTTAGTTGATCAGTATACTCCCAACAGTCTGTGATCAATTAAAAAATAAATCAGCAAGACTTTGTCTGTCTAATAATTAGAAGGTTTCATTTATTATAGTGAGAAAGAAAAATACCATATTCTGCTTTTCAAGCTTGCCAACTTTGAAATCTAGTTCAGCTTAGTATACCATCACATGTCCTCTTTGTATTAATGAAGTTTATTTATTTCAAGTCTTTAAGATCTTCACGTGATTGTTTCAGTTATCATTTTTACTGATGGATTGAGATTATACTCTGTTTTCCATGAGGTGCAAAGGATGGGCCCCTTTGTGGTACTTAATAGCTTATATTGCTCATGTTAATTCCTCAGACAACACAAACAGGAATATCCTACTGTCATGCAGCCTTTGAAACTTTTTTTGCTGATGAGCATTTTCACTGACATTTGACAATAGAATGTAGGTTTTATGAAGTAAGGATATAGATTCTATGCAGTAAGCATATCTTGCAATACAAGCTGTCATTTATTTTTATATTTCTCTCTTTTCCTATCTCTAGTTTTGCATATATTGAGATTTACACAGCCTAGGTTGTACTGAACCTATCCATTTCTTGTTGAGAAAGAGGGTTTTACACGACACAAGTCTTACAGGAATCTGTTCAAATAACTCATTTTATGAACCAACTTAATTGCAGGATAAAGGATGTTTTAGTGTTCTCACAAATCTTAGCATCACTGGCAACAGATTACAAAACTGCCTATCTGAGCCCTTTAATCCTTGTGAGAAACATGCATTATTCTGAGCATGCATAGTTGTATTTGACCACTACAGCATCATGATGTAAAATTAAAAATTTGCTTTGAAAATCAGGGTTGTCCAATTACAGGGTTACTGTAATCCTGAACTCTGTGGTATGGAGGTGGTCAGTAAGATGTATTTAACTTTTAGCACTCTAGAGCTTTTGCCCTGGGAAACAGTTGCCAGGCAAGTTACTAGTCACAAAGGTGCCATCTTGGCTTTTTCTCTCATATAAATAGCACTACACTAACACCAGTCGAAAGACTGATCAAAATTTTTCAGGAGGAAGGTTAAGGGGCCTGACAGTGCTTGTTTTCTTGGGCTATTTCCAGAAGGAAGATTTTTTTTTTTTTTTCCCTGAAGCTGTTGTGATATCCCCGTGTTTATAAGTAAATAGAGATACTGCATTTAAAATTGTACCAAAGGCATTTTTTTAAGATTTATAAAATCTGTATTGGAAATGGGAAAGTGAACATGTTCTAAATAATCCTTTGTGGTGTCATGTAAAGCCTCTGCAGAAGAAAAGTGATGTGGAAGGTGAATCTTTACAACAATTTCCTCTCCATCGGTCCAGGTTAGCTACTGTCATTCACCCACTGGTACAAAATACTATCAAAGTGTCTGCAGAAAGGAGAAATGCCACTTCTCACCAACTCTACATCATCTACTTTGTCAAAATGTTACTCGGACCTCACATGTGTTCAATATCTGCTGTGAACATCCATTTAAACTTAAAAAATATATTTTCAGACACATCCAGAAATTAAATTACTTTAAGACAAGATAAAAAGGGTCAGAACCATTTAAAAAAGTTTCATTAGCTCCACACTGAATTCTGCAAGTAAAACACTTAGCAATAGTAGCAAGTAAGTCAATATTAAGACCTCTGGTTTTAGCATTCATTTTATGTGTTAAAGCTGTCAAGAAAAATAAACAGTTTTCAGGCCAATGAGTGTGCTGAGGCAAAGTAAACACTCCCTAAAGGCTTTTTCAGTCCTCTCTCTTTTGTAACAAAACAGTTACTGAATTCATAGTCCCATGCTGTCTATCCACAAGTCAGTTCTGCACAGAGCTGTAGTATCCAAGCATAAGGTACTCTGGAGCCAAAAATGGCAAAGTCTTCTTCGTCCTGACAATCTGAACAGGTCCACCTTCACCCAGAGCTTTCTTTGTTGTTGAGGCTCTCCTGAAATTGGTTAGGATGGTAGTTTCCTAGTTAACAAGTTAGTATAGTAATTAAGCCATTGCAGCTCCCTTAATCTCCTGTACCGAGCACAAATCAGCCACAAAAGGAAATATTTGCATCAATAGCACTAATCTGCTTGCAATTTATCAGTCAAAGTTTCCAAATACACTTATCCACTGTAAACTTTCCATTTGTATTTTCTTCTTTGTAAATAATATGAATATTTTACTGACCATGAAGACATTTGTTTTCCAGAAGATTTTGTTTCACATGTGTGAAACATCAATTTCCTTACTAGATGAAATCAGAACTGCTTGATTATGTCCCACAGAGCTTGTACAATTAAAGGTAATAGGTAAAGCACAGCCCTGTGATTTTGAAGCAAGAATGCAACAGAGTAACAACCCTGAACTTCTAGGTTTCCATGGATTTCTTATAACCTAGCAGATTAAGATCACATACTGTATTATTAATATTAAAATATATATGTTTCTATAGCAACTTCTGTGGTGCTACATAGTATTCTTAAATCGCAGTAAACTGCAGTGCAGTTTAGTATCTTAATAGCTGTTTCCCAATACAGTGATTCTGAACTGCTTACCTGAGGAGGGTAAATGTGGCTTAAACCTAATCAATACATAATCTGTCGCAGGTTTCTCACTGATCCCTGTTGACCTCAACAATTTGCTTTGTCGGTGCCAGTTGACCTGCAACTTCTTTAAATCTCCAGACAATGAGGCTCTTTTTATAATTATTTTCTGTGAAAATTATGGGTGTATCCTCAACTGAACCAGCTATTTCGAACAGGTTGGGAAGGAACAGTAGGAGGAGGTGCCAGGGGAGTAAGAGCTCGTGACAAGGAGATGGACAGTGAGAGCATTTTAACAGGACAGAAGCAACTTCTCAGTGAGGGGTTTAAAATACAGAACTTCCAGAATCTCAAACCCATCACAGCAGTGTATCATCACCAATTCAATTCAGCAACAGTTTTCTAAGCATAAAAGGAAGGCAAGGGCTCTAGACATGCAACACTTTGAAAGTTAGTCCCCTATTTCTAAAGGCCTTCAGAAAGTACATACTTGTTGTGGTTCACAGATCTGTACCATTCCCTTAAAATACTGTTTAAGTCATATCTTTTTAGGAGCACTTGAATATTTAAAAATTATGAAGAAATGGGTCAGAAAGTGAGCAATGCGTTTAAAATGAGTAAATACTGTTTGTGACTGAGATCCAGAAGGCTACCTGCAAACTTTTGTTATGCATTTAAGTCCATACTGCTTAGTTATTATTTGTTTCCAACTAGCAAGGAGATTTTATTTTCATTTGTAGTAAACTGCTTTCTATGTTTGAGGCTTGGGCAGGGGGCAAGGCATTTTGTGATTCAGATTCTCTGGAAATATGATGAGAAATAAGACATTTCCAAATTTAGTGTTATTGTTAAAATATCTAATCTAATGAGTGAATTGTTAGCCACTCCCTCACAGTAATTCAAGACAGAATCTAGCAGACTGTTGCTTATTTTTAAGTCACCCGGCAACGTTATTCTCACTGCATGCCAGAATAAATTCTGAATCAAAAGTCAGAGTTCTGTAGTAACCTAACTGCAGAAGCAAAGGCCACTCAATTTTCAGTTTATTAATAAGCAGGAACATTGTTAATTTTTCTTCAATACTTGTTTTGCAAAATATCTCCATCATGAGGGATCTATCAGTAGAGAGAATGTTCCACCTTTAGGATTTCTAGAGAACTTGATGTTCTTCACAGAGGAGATGTAGTGGTCCAAAGAGGTAGGATTGCCTTAGCTGCAGAAATTCCTGGAGCTGGCTTTCACAGGTCTTGTGCATTCATGCAAGCACCTGTGGTATTTGGTAATTAGGATAGATACTAACCCATCACCCTGAGCATCCACTCATACCTAACTCGGGTAAAATTTCCCTTGTGTTTCCTAAAGGACTTTAGCCAGGCTGAAATTCACCTTATCAGGCCCTGTCCAAGATATTTGTGGAAGGGGATGTGCAGCAGCATTTAACACCAGAAATTACCATGGCTTTGATGACCTGAGCGAAAGACCAGTTAATACATTATAACTGTTGCTAGGGACTTTGCCTGGAATACTAAAATACACTTGATGCATTTTATTTCTTAAGTGTAAATACAGCACCAAAGAAATTTATTCTTCTTAATTGTCCTCTTTACCTTATCAAATTCCCTTATATGAGGTTGTCATAGAGTTTTTTTATCAGACAAAATATTTAAAGACAACAAGGAAAACAGAGTATTTAAACTGAATTTCTGTAACAGTGTTAGAAAACCTCAGCACATTTATTTGCCATTCATTCTATTTTTTGGAGAGGCTTTCAGCTGATTAATAACATGAAACACTTGAACAGAGCTTAAATTTCTGGAGGAAATGCTTTATAGTGCGGCTTTCATTTAACTCACTGGGGTGCGATGGCCAAGGGCCCTCTGAGTAATGTGCAGAAAAATGTGACCTGAGTCCCGTGTCAGCTCAAAGAGGAGGGAAGATACACTGGAGGGTCAAAATGGGTCTGTGATCTGAAGAGGATGGCATTGCCAGTGCTGAACTGCAAGAGTTGTCACTGGAGTGTACTGAATGCTCACAGAAAGGTGAGGAAAGTGTCTCCACGGCAAGGACAGATGGCAGAAATCTGGGGGGGTTTGTAGCAAACAAGAGGGATCATGTCACCTTTTGCCCTGTGACCTAAATCTGGGTTTGGGGACTTACACGTCCTCTATTCCTGCAGCCCTGCAGCGGAGGGACTGGCCCTGCTGCGCCATAGCCTGGATTTACACCATCCTGGCTCTGCGACGTCAGTGGGTCTGTCTGTATCCTTGCTGGAGTAACTGGGGAACAGTCAGCTAGATGAGCCTCCTGGCATGTACTCCTATGAAGGGACATCAACTAGATGAGCCTCCTGGCATGTACTCCGATGAAGGGACATCAACTTTAGTGAAAGTCAGAAGACATGAACAATTAGAAACTCAGAGTAATTTCTGTTCTAAAGGTTTTCCAATATACTAGTAGATTTCAGACAAGCATGGACATTATTGGTTAAAGTAAAATTGTCAAAACCAAAACAATTGTTCTTCTTTGCAGTATCTATTTACAGCAGCCGCTGTTTTTTTTCCTATTTATTCTGCCACTTTCAAACACATGCTGTTCTGAAGATAGATGCCTAATGACATGTTCAATTTAAGTACTGACACCAATAATAATAAATAATATGCTACCCTGAGTGCTAATAAACTTTAATGCTTTTATTCATAACTGTATGAATCACCAAGATTTATACTTATCATAAAATTCTGGAAGTGAAAGTAATGAGGAAGTAATAGACTAAAGTAGGACACGGTCTGTATTTTCTGATATATTAGTCACAAAATCCTGTACAATATGGCGTTGAATATTCTTGGATTATTATTTATTCAGAAAAGCATTCTTGCTAAATAAAGATAAGATAGAGCAATTAAAAAAATGTAAATTTAAGTTTATGAGCTGCAGTGTTCCTCAGTTAAATTGAATTGCTCCCACCAAAATGGATCGCAGCTGAGCTGTTCAAATGTGTTAGACTGCTGCTTTTGAATTACCTTATTTTGTATTCTTTTTTATTTAATTAAAAATAAAGTTAGATACGTTGTTTCATATCTTTTACAATTTTTTGTAATCTACAAGTGGCAAAGACATTATTTTTACTGTTAAATTACACTTGCTGAATTTCTGATAACATCATTAAAAATATGACCATGTCCCTATCCGTTTATAAGTGTGGAAGTCTTATGGCACTTTGTACGCTTATGGTAGTATTAGACACTGTGTCCTGGCAAAATTCTGTGAGAAGTCCGAAAGTCTCTCTGACCTTGAGTTCTGATTTATTCTGGAGTACTTGTCCATTACCAAATCTATGATCTCCTTATTGTCTGAGATGAATTACAGTCAATACTACTCTCAGTGTGTTATGGGAGGATTTCAGCATTCTAGATGCAATGTCATCCACTGGATAAGAAACTGATTTACAACAAAAGAGATATAAACTCTTCCGCTCACTGTGGGTTTGAGCTAGGCGAGTCCGTTAACGTCTGTTTCCCCTCTCATCATTTATGTGTGCTATCCATTAAAAAAACTCCATAAACTCTCCAGGGCAGAAACTGGGTTTGAAGTGCTCAGTTCAGGAAGAGCTTAATCCCTTTAAATGCTGCTTAAATATGAATAATAGTAATAAACTCTTGGCAGCAGGCCACTGATAGTCTGCTGCATTGACATTCTGAACAATCTTGTCCCGTTGGCTCCTTGAATCTGCCTCCCCCAGGTCGCAGCCCGGTGACGCTGAGCCTGGAGCAGTCACAGGCAGCCACGCAGAGAGGTGATGGACTCTGCTTTGCTTCCAAAAGGCCAAAACCGCAGGCAGAGAGGGTGTGGGGTAGCTCTGAGGTGTGCGAGGGTTCCAACAAACACTTCCTGTAAAGGCGTTTTTGTGTGGGCTCTCAGCGATCGTCCCTGGCATGTGGGTTCATCCCTGCTGCAAGGCCCCACCAGTGCCTGTGTCATGGGGCAGGTGGGCTTGTACCAGCTGGTAAACCTGGCTCTTCACTGCACATTGGAGAGATGCATTGCTTTCAGCTTTGACACTTTCCTGTATAAGCCCATTTTCATGTAAAATGTAGTCCTAAAAGTTTTAGGTTGAGTCTTTGAAAAGGCTTTTGAAATTTGATGACGAGGTACATTGTTATATCTGTTTTTGCTGAAACTAAAGCAGTAACTCATGGTTGTTTACACATTCAACCACCATTTTTTTGGGGTCTGTATGAACAGGATTTTATAATGATTACAGAAGTTATTCTGAATTTCATTCTTCTCTTGAACATTGCTTGGAGAAACGGACAATTAACGTTAAGAGAAGCTGCAGAAGACAGTGACCACCTTCTAGTCATTAGAAAATAAAAATCAAAACTAAAGCCATATTCAAAAGGAATCTGGCTTTATGGAAGCAAATATTCATTCCCCTGCATAAGGATTTTGCAGTCTGACAAATGTCTTGAAACCTGGGGGGGAGTTTGAATTGTGAAGTTGTGATATTTCCCTAGATGAAAAAAGTTTGGTTTCTGTTTGAACTTTCTAAAATTATCAAAAAAACTGATGTTGTTTCATCTTTTTGTGACATACATGCATATTTGTGTTCCTCAGATAAATGGGAAGCCCCTGCAGTACATTTTCCCTCATGCAAGGCTCAAACTACTGAGAGATCCAAAGGATCACACTGTTTCAGGTAAAAAAAAAAGCAACCCTCTACGAGACATGATAATTAATTTTATGAGCATGAATAGTGCAAAAGATTTGCAGTATTAAAAATAGCTCCTGTGTCATATGCAGCAGGAAATTCAGCGGTCATTTTAAATCTTGTTAGTTGGTATAACAGAAAGCAGCAGTGTGGAAAAAAGGTCACAACATCTGTTCAAGATATATAACCTATACAGACATTAAAAACAGAGGGAAAATCTGTTGTGTTACACATATGAGCGGTCTGTTTTGCTGTTGCTTTTTATATAACTGTATTCTCTGGAAGCTTCTATAAAATAGGCTAGTGTAGGTGTTCAACACGTACAGAAATGACAATTCTATTCTTTCTGTACTGGAACTATTCTACAGAGGGGGGCTGCGGAACAATCAGATCCCATTTTTCTGTGGTATCTTCACATAGAGACATTTATCACAGGACTTGATTTATTCTCTTTTCCCTAACGCTAACACAAATGCTCATGTAAGTCTGAGTCTGCTTGCAAAGGAGATGAAAGTGGCAAAGGTTAGAGTCATTCACCTCCCAGACCATGAGCAGGAAGGTGGTGTGA